CCGGCTTTCCATGCTGGATCCCTTTGCCATGATCAGTCAACTCTCAGGAACTTCCATGGCCTCCCCGTGCCTGCATTATGCCATACTATAAGGGTTCTTAAGGGCTAAACCCATAAAAAAATTTTGTCACTTTTATCACCACTTATTTTTCTTCCACTTTTAGTCACATTTGTTTAATTGCTTGGGAATAGAGTAAGAAAGGGAAAAACTTTAACTTTTGAATGTCACACCAATCCATTAGTTCCTTTAAGTGTGATGCTATTTCGACTGCCACTGAATTAAAAATGGCCTGCCAAGGGGCAACTTGTTGTTTATGCCTGAAATATATGCTACTTGCACATAAAAGAAATTACTGAGTGCCCTTAAGGACACATGATAAAATGCAACATTTATGTTTTTCTACAGTTTGAATAATCTTTCTCCCAGCATGACTCATTACAGCCAACCTCTTTCAGTGTTTCTTTTCTTAAGGTGAAAAGAAAATGTATAGTAGGAGCCCCATTCACATTAAATTGCGCTTAAAAATATTTCCCCAATCGCTCCAGAAATCAGAGAGCCATTGTCTGTTGTACAGGTAACATTTAGCACAGATAGTAACTTACATGTGAATTTTTAATTAGAAGTTAGTCAGCTTTATCTAAGAATTTTGTATCAGCCGAGAACCGACTACAAGAGACTAAAAACAATTAAGAATTCCCCACGAGGCAATATTTATCTCTTAATGACTTCAGGGAAAGTGATTTAACACGTCTCACTTACTGAACTAATTCTTGCACTAATATGAAAGATAAACTGAGTTAGTATAATTAAATGCTCTCTCCAGTTCATTTTATCATCCATCCTTAAAAAAGATGGTGGCTCGACTTATATGAAATAAATGATAACCTTGCTATCTGTAATTTATTGATTACTGAAGGTGAAACATTTTGGTCATATAACAGGATGCAAAAGGCATAAAATATCCACCCAGCTTCCCTACAAATTCCGAAATTGTACATGTCAAGGCAATGAAAATTTCAAAAGGATTTTCAGACATATTTTCTCGATAAACAATTCTAGGAAATATCTACCTGCGATTTCTTGTCCCTTAGAAGCTGCAAAGAGGGGTGTTTTTGTTTCTTTATGTGTTTTCCCCTCC